ACCAGTGCTTGTCAGTAAACCCGTCCCCAGCCAATTGTTCAAAAAAGTGTAGATTTTGCTCTTACTCAAATGCTTGGTGGTCGATAAAATCAACTAAAATTGATGTTTACATCATTGTGGGGGCGTTTTTGGTACTTACTTCAATGTCGTTAGGATCGAGAAAATTCACAATGTCGACGTAGAGGGCCGAAAGGCGGAAAATGGGGTAGTACTCCCGTGAAAATTTTCGCATTCTTGTAAACCATAAATCTTGAAAGAAGCTTACAACCTGTTTTGTTGTTTCAGGCGCTTACCTGGGTCCTGTGTGAAAATGTACATGTGACCGAAAATTGGTGTCTCAGGGGGGCCACGTATTTTCTTCAAAATTTTCTTATTCCTGTGGTATATTCGGAAAAAATGCCAACTTTGGAGTAGCAAAATTAGGGCTATGCCGGTTAATAACAGATAAAACGAAAGCATTTTCACTGTTTACAGGACGAGAGTTATGTAACAAGTATTGGATACAGTCTGACAGATTTTATAGTGCGCTCGTTTCAATGTCGATCTTTGTTCTTCGTGTTAATAACACAACTTGCAAATTTGTGTTCGGAATAATCAATCTAAGTACAACTAACGACGTAATTTGTTTTGTTATCTTGTGTTAACAATAATTGTTCAGATGGGATCACAAACTTGCCATAAATAACCGATTTATTTTGAGATCCACAAACTAAACAAGGATAATTGTTTTTTTTATATTAATTATACAGGCTGTATTTTGAAAAACGCCCCAAAAGCCATAACTCCATTATTTTTAAAGTTATGACAATACTTCTTAGAACAAAGTTGAACATTTTTTGTCATCTATCGTTTGGGATAGATGCTAAAGTAATGCTGTTTTCTGTTTCATCGGAAAAGACATCAACTTTAATTTTTTAAATGGAACATCCTGTACATTTTACCACTTTTGGATTCTTTGTTTAATTGCCTTTTAAAAGGTTTTAGTACCAGCATTAATTTAGCATCTATCCCAAACGATAGATAACAAAAAATGTTCAACTTTGTTGTAAGAAGTATTGTCATAAGTTTAAAAATACTGGAGTTATGGCTTGGGGCGTTTTTTTTTAATAATACAGTCTGTATGCAAAGAAAGAAAATTAAATAGTATATTATGTAACTGGTGCTATAAACGCCACTTTAGACATGAGTTTTATTAGGCACGAGCGAGTGTTTAATAAAACGTATGTCTAGAGAAGTTTATTCACGTATTACATATTATACTTTTTCTACGACTACTACAAAAAAATTACTTAAATTAAAAATAATTAATAAAAATAATCCGTGTTTTAGATGTGGGAGTAGAAAAATGGAATTACAGGAACCGATTTTTAATTCTATTTTTGTAATAAAGTATATTTACATATAGATCGAAAAATTAAGACAAGTTCTTAATTGATATTACGTAAGTACAGGCATTAGAATAAATATTTATGTTTATTTTATAGTGAAACAGATTATTTATAATTATATGATTTATTACTTCAGCATTATACTTAAATATAATTATTTACTTAGAAGCAATTTCTCTTATCTGAAATAAATAAGTGTTTTCTGTTGATTAATGTTTTTTAAAGAATTAAATACTTAGTTAAATAGTCCATTTTTTGCGGAAACATTAAAGCTCGTTATAAAATTTGTGACTACATTGTGTGGAGATTACTCCACTCGCTTCGCTCGTTTCGTAAACTACAACAGCTTTCATTTATTATTTGTTCATTAAATTAAACGCAGTTTCTTAAAAATCGATATATTTATGATCACAGCATACTTTTATTGCAATTTTTCGATTCTGACTTTGACATCGTTCTTTGGCCTTAGCACCAGGTCTGGCCTGAACTCAATCTCGTACATATCATCGACTTTCTCTAACTTAAACTTCCTTAAAATCCCACAGAGTACTGTTTTGAGTTCCAGGAAAGCAAACTTCTGTCCTATGCAATTTCTAGGCCCCGC